TTAAAATTAACAAGTCCAAACATATAGTACTAACAGTCCAAGATAAACTGGATGTTATTTGTCAAATGCTTAACTTGAAAAAAAAAAACCATAGAGCAAAATCTTGATCTGTGCATGGGCAATACTAACACTGAAATGAAAAACACCTAGAAGGCAGAAAATGTTGTCCTGTTGTCAAAGCTCAGCGTACTGTACAGAAGAATAATGTCAAAAAATATACTTGAAACTTACGAATATTGTCGATTGAGAATTGATAAGTGCGAAAAAAAATTGATAGTAGGTTATAGGCTGCACAATGTGAGCTCACAAAATTAAGAAATAAAAATAAAAAAATAAAGAATCATTAACAGTCAAAAATACCAATATGAAGATGAATTTCGTAATAAAAATTATAAGCGTAATGTATAAGACTAAAGACTTACGCTAGGAGTAACTAGTAAGGTCTATGAAGAATGAAGATGAAGCAACTGAAGAGTGCGGCTGAGAAAGAATAGGAGAGAAGAAACTGAAGCCCTAGCATATTTATATACTTAAGGGTAAAGTCGTAACTTTATTAACCCAATAACCCGATACCAAAAACCCAATAAACAATTAATGGTTTGGGTTATCGGTTTTACCCGATATATGCCCAGCCCTACTCAATGTGGCCCGAATATTGGAGGCCATTTTATCCATTTCGACCTTTGTGCCCATTCTAATATTCTTTATTTGGACTTTGATGACTTTTTGTTCTTCTTTGCAACCCGAAGAGATGGAAAATTTCAGAGAATATACCTCGCCTTCATAAAAACTTAAATATCTCGTAATCGAGACTGAAGATGGCATAGAACAAACCAAGCTTTTGGTTCACACCCCATAAGCTGGCTGGTATGCAGCCTCATGGCCTTCTTTGAGGAACTCCCTTTTATGTAGAAAACTAGACCTTGGAGCACAAGTCTACTTCTAGTCCATTGTCCAAGATGTGGTCTCTCCAAGCACCAATCCATCGCTATGTAAACATTGCTAGCACCCTTCCAAACTTAGGGCGTCGCATAATTCAAGGCGAAGTATGTTGGGGAAACACAACAACAATCGAGGGCGAGTATCGTCATATTCCAGGATATTGGGAATGGGCTGAAGATGTACTTGGTGGAAGCCAACAAAAACTAAGTACAACAAAGTTTTATGATGTTGTATATGCCTCACTTTTCACTTATGATCGAAACTCGAACATTTTGCAAGAATTTTGTGAGGCTTGGTGCCCTAAGACGAACACGCTTCTCATATCAGCTAGGGAACTATCTCTCTCTCTTTGGGACTTACATATCCTTGGAGGTCTATCCATTGTGGGTTCTCCATACAAAGAAGTGGTACCTAAGTGGATAAATTTTTGGTATAAAAAAAGCTTTAATATATAAACCTGCCCCACTGCAAAAGGAAAAGAAATCCGCACGCCTAAAGTTGACACATAATTCCAACAGAGTTATCCCCGAGACAACTAGGTGTGACGACCCAACCCGTCGTCTCATGTATTACAATCCCGTTTTCCCCATTTATTGCTCTTTCATGTTTTATTATCAGCTACGGGTGAGTTAGAGTTGAATTGAATTGGTTTGGATAGGAAATGAGACACTTAGTCTCTTTAAGGAAGGTTTGGTTTGGAAAAGTCAACCGAACATTGACTGATTAGTTAGAAGGCTCGGATGTGAATTCCGGTGATTCAGTTAGCTTCAGGAGGTGATTTGTGACTTAGGAGTGCGATCGAAAGTGGTTTTGGAGGTCCGGAGTAGAATTAGGCTTGAATTGGCAAAGTTGGCATTTTGGCGAATTCCGGTGGATAGGTGAGATTTTGATCCGAGGGTCGGAATGGAATTCCGAGAGTTGCAGTAGCTCCGTTAGGTGATTTTGGATATGTGTGCAAAATTTCAGGTCATTCGGAGGTGTTTTGGTCGGGTTTTTGATCGAATGCGTAATTCGGAAGTTTTTAAGAAACTTAGGCTTGAATTCGATGTGATTTGATGGCTTTAGCGTTATTTGATGTGGTTTGATGATGGGAACAAGTTTGAATGAGGTTTTAGGATGTATTGGTGTTTTTGGTTGAGGTCCCGGGGGCCTCGGAGTGAGTTCGGGTGTTTAAACGAGAGTTTTGAAGTTTGCTTCAGGTCTGTTGTTGCTGTCATCTGGTATTTCCGCTTCTGCGGAAATGGACCGCAGAAGCGGGTGAAGGAGCGCAGAAGCGGTTCGTGGCCTGGTGAGGAGATTCCGCAAAAGCGAAATATAGTCCGCAAAAGCGAGTCCGCAGGAGCGGACTGTCAACCGCAGAAGCGGTACTGGGTGATCCGCAGAAGCGATTTTGGGACGCAAAAGCGAAAATTGTAACTTTAATGAAAACCGCTTAAGCGGACTTCTGACCGCAGAAGTGGTCCCGCATAAGCGGAAGCGGGACCGCAAAAGCGAAATCAACTGTTGACAGAAGGGTTTAAAATATTATATTTCATCCGCGAACAAGAGGTAGTTTCCACCATTTTTAAGCGACTTGGAGAGCTTTGGGCGAGAAATTTCGAGGGTTTTGACTGAGAATCGATTGGAGGTAAGTTCCTTGGCTTAATTACTCGAGTTTATGGTAAACTTATCATAGAAATCAGTGGAAATTCATCNTTTCAATAATATTCAAAAAACTTACATCGAGGTATTTCAATTTAGTTTATGCCGAAACTCGTATAGTCATGCATATTAGTATTGTTTAGTATGTTTCCATGTGAATTTATGTTATGTTTGTGTTTAATTTTGTATCTTTTATATACCCGGATTGATTTATTTGATACCCGAATTTATGTTATGTTTGTGACCAAAAATGCTACCGGATTGTTTGTGTTATATTTGATTTATATACCCGAATTTATGTTATGTTTGTGACCAAAAATGCTTAAAATTTGATAAATAATTTGTATTCTTATGTAATTTGTATTAAAATTTGATAAATAATTTGTATTGTTAAATAATATTATTTATTTTGTTTATTTGTATTGTTAATGTTATGTTCATTTTGTAGAGCCTTGTAGTGTAGTAAAATATAGTGTCTTTTAGCGAAGTAATATATAGAGCCTTTTAGCGTAGTAAAATGTATAGCCTTTTAGCGTAGAGTCTCAGTAGCTAACAAAATTTTAAAAATGTTGAAATTGAGACACATAATAATTAAGGATAACTCGGTGCTACCGGGCCGCAAAAATCAAGCCTGGACCCATACATAACTATTATCTCCAATTAAAAAATGTATAATTTAATTTATTAAGTTAACAAAATTCTAAAAATGTTGAAATTGAGACGCATAATAATTAAGGATAAGTCGGTGCTACCGGGCCTAAAAAATCAAGCCTGGAACCCATACATAATTATTATCTCCAATATTAAACATAATTAATTATTTAATTTATTAAGTTAACAAAATTCTAAAAATGTTGAAATTGAGACGCATAATAATTAAGGATAAGTCGGTGCTGCCGGGCCTCAAAAATCAAGCCTGGAACCCATACATAACTATTATCTCCAATTAAAAAATTTATAATTTAATTTATTAAGTTAACAAAATTCTAAAAATGTTGAAATTGAGACGCATAATAATTAAGGATAAGTCGGTGCTACCGGGCCTCAAAAATCAAGCTTAGAACCCATACATAATTATTATCTCCAATTCAAAAATTTATAATTTAATTTATTAAGATAACAAAATTCTAAAAATGTTGAAATTGAGACGCATAATAATTAAGGATAAGTCGGTGCTACCGGGCCTAAAAAATCAAGCCTGGAACCCATACATAATTATTATCTCCAATATTAAACATAATTAATTATTTAATTTATTAAGTCAACAAAATTCTAAAAATGTTAAAATTGAGACGCATAATAATTAAGGATAACTCGGTGCTACCGGGCCTCAAAAATCAAGCCTGGAACCCATACATAATTATTTACTCCAATTCAAAAATTTATAATTTAATTCTTTAAGGTAACAAAATTCTAAAAATGTTGAAATGTAGACGCATAATAATTAAGGATAACTCAGTGCTACCGGGCCTCGAAAATCAAGCCTGGAACCCATACATAACTATTATCTCCAATTAAAAAATTTATAATGTAATTTATTAAGTTAACAAAATTCTAAAAATGTTGAAATTGAGACGCATAATAATTAAGGATAAGTCGGTGCTACCGGGCCTCAAAAATCAAGCCTAGAACCCATACATAATTATTATCTCCAATTCAAAAATTTATAATTTAATTTATTAAGTTAACAAAATTCTAAAAATGTTGAAATTGAGACGCATAATAATTAAGGATTATTCGGTGCTATCGGGCCTAATAAATCAAGCCTGGAACCCATACATAACTATTATCTCCAATTCAAAAATTTATAATTTAATTTATTAAGTTAACAAAATTCTAAAAATGTTGAAATTGAGACGCATAATAATTAAGGATAACTCGGTGCTACCGGGCCTCAAAAATCAAGCCTGGAACCCATACATAATTATTTACTCCAATTCAAAAATTTATAATTTAATTCTTTAAGGTAACAAAATTCTAAAAATGTTGAAATTGAGACGCATAATAATTAAGGATAACTCGGTGCTACCGGGCCTCGAAAATCAAGCCTGGAACCCATACATAACTATTCTCTCCAATATTAATCATACTTAATTATTTAATTTATTACACTAACACAAACAATTAATTTTGTTTAAATTATAGTAGACGACATGGCCTTTCCTCCGCCTGCGCATCCGGGACCTGCCGAGGATCAGCTACTAGTGCTGCAGGGCGACCATAGGTCCTCCTATGTTTGGGAGGGATAGCTATCGATGCAGGCTCTCCGCCCCAGGAGGCCTGATGATTTGTGGGAGTTTATTGCGGGGCATCCTTTCCATGAGCGCGTAGTAGAAGCCTCCAGACTACGGGATTATATACCATTTTTGAGCTTGGACGGATGTAGCTTTATTGGTCGCTCATCACGGCCTTGGTAGAGCGGTGGCGATCGGAGACGCATACATTTCACTTGCCCACTGGAGAGGCCACCATCACGCTGCAGGATGTCCAGGTTTTATACGGACTGCGTGTAGAGGGACGCGCCTTCGCACTGCCCCACCACTGGAGAGGGATGACACGTGCACAGTTGGCGGATATGATGGGGCAGTTGACTGGTTCTAGACCTCAGGGTGACCGGGGTTGCAGTCGCGTTGTTTTGTCATTCATTAGAGATCAGATGGCGGATTTGCACCCAGATATTACCCACGAGATGGAGCATCTTTGGATTCAGAGGTACACTTGGTTGGCGTTGCTCCTGCTTTTCGGGTGTGTCTTGTTCCTGGAGACTTCGGGGAGTAAAGTGAGTATGCGCTTTCTGCATTGTCTTGAGCAGCTGGATGAGCTACCCCAGTACAGCTGGGGTGCTACTGTTCTGGCGTATCTGTATAGGAGCATGTGTCGGCCGAGCATAGGTCGAACGGTTGATATATGTGGTTTTCTGCCCCTCCTACAGGTGCAATAAATTTCTGAATACTTTGTTCTTTGCTCCAAATTCTATATCGCGAAATGACTCATAAATTTACATCAACATTTTATCTTAGCTTTGGGCCTGGCAGCGGATCATGCCGTTGGAGCCACCTCTACCACCACTTCCGCCCGGTGAGGATTATCCGCTTCTCCCTCTAGCTATCAGGTGGATTCTCCAGCGTGGGAACTACCGAGGGACGGATGCTCATCATAATCTCCCCCTTCTCAGGGATGTGTTAGATATGTTGGTGGACGGACAGGTAAATATGTACCTACACTTGGTTGTTTTAAATTGAGTTGTGTTTTGCGTACTCATTTTTATGTTATTATTTGGTAGTTCATCTGGACGCCATACAACATCGAGTTGCTTGGTCAGCTACCCGCTTGTTGGTCGGTCGACCGGCTGATTTGGAGCACTCCGTCCTGATGATCTTCTGGGATCACATTGAGTATCATACCACGGAGCGTGCGCTTCGACAGTTTGGCCTTCCTCAGCCTATACCGAGGGAGCCTAGATGGGAGGCTACACACTATCAGCGGGACGACCGTGCCAGCATGGACCGGCAGTATATTGGATGGCTACAGCAACAGATAGCTTATTGGGAGGACCGAGCTGGGCGCATTCCGCTACCACTTACAGTTTTCCAGGAGGCCTCTATTCATCTGTATGCTGAGTGGTACCGCCGTCAGACCCGAATGATGATCGGGAACCCCGTTCATGTACTTGGCGAGCGCTACAGACCGTACGCCGGGAGGCACGAGGCACTGGTATGTTTTTGTGGCTTATTAATATCTTATAATTGTGATATAGCGTTATTTAATTAATATATTAAATGTTTCATAGGCCATTGGGCATCATCGCATCTACCAGTTGGGACAGGAGATGCAGCAGCGTGCCGACCCTGAAGTGGTTGAGTATGGTCGGCAGGTAGCTCAGATGGCTCGTCTGACACTGTTGCAGGCGAGAGATGCCGAGAGGTTAGACCATGAGCATCAGTATGTGGCTCCAGAGGCCTACCAACGGGGTAGGCCAGTCCCACGAGCCAGGGGTAGGGCACGAGGAAGGGGTGCCCCACGAGGCAGGGGTGCCCCATGGGGTCGCAGGGGACGGCGAGGAGGTGGTCAGCAAGGGGGCGTTGAGGTACTTGTCGAGCCACCTACTGAGGGACATGACGAGGACTTCGGAGTTGGGGGCTTTGGAGATGATCAGCGGGGTTATATGCCTCATGCAGATGAGCCTTCCAGCAGCATGCCTTCGTATAGCCTTCAGCTATCTTTGCCAGCATCGCAGGTCACCCCGTCAGGAGCATTGTCGATCATGGGTACATTCGACGGGGATGTAGATCAGTACTTCGCATGCCCATCTACCGCAGCTGAGGATCGGCTGGCCCGGGACGTGGATGGCGGGCGCAGGTTGAGTTATCCATCGTCCCCGGCAGTTCATGCGGATCTACCACAGGCGGCGGTATGTTTGTATTACTTTAATATTTCAATTTGTTTTCTTTTCCTTAAATAGCTGCCATTAATTAATTGTTACTTTCTTATGCAGTCTTCGTCCCAGCCCATCTTTGAGGACACTACATGCGGTGATGAGCACACCATGGATACATATACCTAGGAGGTCGACGAGACCATGGTGAGAAAATATTTTCTTACTTAAAATAATAGTACACTCTGTAGGTTAAGATAATAATATATTTTCATAAAATAATACATTTTCGCGTGCTAAGATTACTTCTTGTTTTGTAGGTTGCTGACGGCCCGACGGCCTATTCTTCCGATCCTGCCAGTTGTAGGGTTGATGCTGCTGCACATCCTCACATGGTGATCTAGATAGTGTGCCCGGGCGACAGGGGATGCGACTTAGGCCAGCAGCAACACTGAAGCACACAGGTTGCGGCACTCACTGATTTACTTATGTATTAACTTTATGTAAATAGTGCTTTATGTAAATAATAGTAACAACTATCTTTTAACAACTATTTTATTTTAATTGCGTTTGAACAACAATTTTACTTAAACGGTACAACTCAAACACAAACCTTACAAACCTAACACAAAAACAAACAGTACAACTAATGAAAGCACTTGACAAAGGAAACATGAAGATACACTACAACAATCAACACGTAAATGTCACCGCTTAGTTACGACCGCCTAGTATTCTCTGGTTAATCCTCTCGAGCTTTCTTTCTAATTTCTTTTTCTCTTCTTCCACCTCCTTGATCTTCGCCTTCAACTCTTCAATTTCTTGCTTCGATTGGCGCTCTCTGTCCCACTTCCCATTACACACATCTTGAAGATGATACACCTGGTCTTTGTAGTATTCCTGGTCACATGGTTCATCAACCCATACCTTAAAATTGCATATAGGTACGTCGGGTTGCCTATAAAACTTGTTCATGCACGCCCAGTAGTGGCGTCCAGCTTCTTCCCATTCATTGTACATCATGCTTTTGATTCCACAGTCGCACTTTGGGCAACGAAGGGGTCGTTGAGACATTTCTTAAAGAGAAGTTTGGTTTTATGGAAAATCTCGATTATAGGTTGTTGTTAAGCGCAGAAAATAACTCGAACGCCCTCGTTATTTATAGGCAAGATTTCAGATTGATCGTAGTATTATACTGCGAATTACATATTAAATTTCTCTGACACGAAACAGGGTTTCCACATGGTTTTCAGCTTTTTCAGAACGATAAGACAACTCCGCAAAACGTAGTATTATACTGCGAATTACATATTAAATTTCTCTGACACGAAACAGGGTTTTCACATATTAAATTTCTCTGACACGAAACAGTATTATACTGAGATTTACATATTTAATTTTTCTGGAAAAAAAATTAATATTTTTCATTCATTCAAGCTTTTGAACAACGCTTTACAGCTTTTTAAGAACGACAAGACAATTGATAAAACACATTATAGTACCACGCTTTACATATTTAATTTATTTCATAACGAAATTTTTTTATACCACATTCTTGCTCATGTTTACTAATACCCATACCTCAATATTGCTCCAACCATATAAAAATATAACGTTAAAAAATAAGATGTAACAGGATTGTGGAAATTTATTTTATTTCATTATATATTGAAACAAACAAAAATACAGACATGTATTACAAAAAATAATACCAAAATAAAGGACTAGGGGTATCCTTGATAGTTGGGTACATTGGACGAACTTGCACCAGGATTACCACCGTCACGCACACCACCTGAAGGACATTTACGATGGTCATGTCCTGTTTGAGAGCATATGCCACATTTACGCGTATAAACGGACTCACCAACATCCATTCGGTTCCGTATACGCGTTCTCTTTTGCACTTTCAGCTTGCGCAAATAGTCATTGTACAGCCAACTAAAGGTTCCGGCGGCCATAATGCTCAGCACCTAATGGATGCACTTCCCACTATACGTGTCTA